ATATATTTAACTATCATTAAATCTCACATATTTAAATTCATGTAATAAGTTTGTATTTCTATGTGTTAAAAAACTAAACTGAAGATAAAAATTAATTTCAAATTGGAATTTACTCATTCAAATTTCCATTGTTTTTCAATTTTTATACCAGAAATTAAAATAAATTTCAACTAAAACTCGACCTAAATATATATTAAAGCGTCAAAATGAGAATAGTCACTGCCATTTGACATCAACCCAACTAACCCTAGATTTCTCCATTGATCGCCGTCTGGAAAATGATTGAGCATTTGATGATATAAAAGTTGGCTATGAACAGATGGAACATTTGATAGTTCAGCAAGCTTGGGGCCAAGCCAAGCAAAATGCAACTTTTTACAACTATTTGAAATTATTAGAAGGCTGTCAATTAAAAACCCAAATTGGTCTATGCTGATCCAAGCTAGTCTATGTTGAAGACGGCTCTACCCCTCAAAAACCTAATTTTACTTTTCATGTCACAAGCTGTTCTGACTCCTGCATCAAAGAAAACAACTTTCTTCTCACTGAACAATCTTTCAAGAGGATTTCTGGGTTTGGCGAAAAGATGATCACGCACTGCTCAAGCAGTTCTCCCAAGTCCCAAATTTAGAGCTGAAGGTGCCCCCACCAGTCTGCTGTGCATACTCGCAAATAACAGCGCGGGCACAAACATCCCAGGTCCTTGCTATCTCTCCAAGTGACATGGGCTGTGTAAGGCTTCGAAGAGATATGCTAAACCTGGATTTTGCTTTCACTGAAAGATCTTCATCTTCCTCTCTGTAACACAGAATATCAAAAAGTAATATCTCGTTAAATTTTCATGTTTACAGACATTCTGAAACCAGGCGAGTAGTTTCGCTTCGAAAAGAAAAAAGGAAAGCATGTTTTATATGCGAGAATCATTATTAAAAAAATAAAACTAAATAGGAGAGAAAAATCTTGAGTTTGACACAAAATTCAAAAGTATATATTTTCCAGTATGATATATATTGTCTTTTGAGCTCCTTGGTGTGTTGGAAGGCTGCTCCCTTTGTGAACAATTGATTTCGGCTTCAAGCCTTTCTGTTGCCTTTGGCCCGGCAAAATATACATACATGCTAGATATGCCCAAAGTCCTTTAGTTAAAATAAATCTTGTGATAGTGAAAGAGTTGTTCAGAAAGATTTTCCATAAGTATATTAAGTTTATCATGTAGAGTTGCAAAGTTAAACTCATTAATGAGAATTTTTCACCAAAACAAGAGATCAGTAAATATAGACAACTGAAAGGAACAAATCCACAGTTTCCTTACCTGTCTTCAACAGGAAATTTGTCCAAAAGTATCGGAGAGCAATTTGGGTAATTTGAGGGAACTAACAAACGCAAAGGTTGAATTGGTGACTGCATAGAAACAACAAACAAATAATTTGAGAGAAAAGAATAGTGGAAATGAGCAGAAGGTCGCTTCTCTTCATATTTTTAACCTACCATCTGTCCTGAGGTATACTGCAATTTCAAGCTTGGACTGAGAGCCACAGCGCTGTATGAACACTTGACAATGGTCCCTTCACCTCCTTCAGAAGTAGCTGCTGTGGCACTTGGATCAACATCTTCATCACTGATGTCAACCACTGTGTCTATAAGTCGCTGATTTATCTCCCTTATTTCTTCCATAAGGGTATGATTAGCCTGCAAGAGGGACAGGAATCCTCATATTGAAGCTAAAATGGCATTCTGGAAAGAGTTGATACTCTAATGAAAATCAATCAATAATAATAATAAGGCTTAAAACAATTTCCGCATGACACTTAAATTTGTTGAAGTCAAAAGACGTAAAAAAAGTTACAAATACCAACAAGCTCACAACTTCTATTAGATTATTGAAGTAACCATTCCAACATGCAATAACACCTCAACAATACATAGAAATGACTATTGAAAACTAATTATGCTCCTTTCCAAGATTTAAGGACCATGAATGCTATACATCATTGGACATGTACACATTTTTTTATCAAATAAATCATGGCTTTTAAAACTTCCAATTAAGAAAATGCAAAAAGCAATAGAAAGGAACATAAAGTTCAGCAAAAGAAAGAGAGAAACCAATTACTAATGCAACAAGGAACTGGATGTCAACAAACAAAAAAATAACATGACAATTTTTACACATTCAGGGTCAGAAGCTAACTTTATAAAATGCCAGAAACTGAGAATTGTACCTTAATTCTTAGCTTCTTAATACTAGATGTTGCAGTTGATTCCAGTTCAGATATCTCTGACGCGGCCAACTGCTCACTCACACTGCCTGCTGATGATACAACATTTAAAGGCACAGCACTAGTGAAGCGCCTCATTTTCTTTGTCCCCGTCATTCCATCTTGTGTTATCAAATTTCTTGCTTGCAGACGGCACTTTGTCATTGCAACCAATCCTCACCAACAGCAGCTCTAGAGCCATTACCTGAGCTGATCTGCTATCCTATCTACCATGCTGACA